GAAACGCATTAAGTGTTCTAGTGCCTGTAAGTGTATCTTAGTCCACAAGTGAGATTATAGGAACTTTAAATGTTTAACCATTTACCTTCTGTCACTTTACATTAACACTGTCCCTAGCAATCTGAACTTATTTGAATAACATCTAACATGAAGAGTGGTAAACCTAATCAACATATTTTGGTAATCATTGTCCCGTGCTCTCTGTTTTAATTTTACTTTCTCTAGTTGTAGATGATTAACAATAATTCGTCCTGGCACTGGAAATAACTTTAAACACCGTTCATAAATCATCAGGCTATCCACTCAAGAAAAAATTAAAAGCTCCCTGATGATGCATTGAACTGCCGTGATACATGTCATAAATAAACTACTTAACAATTATTGAACTAGCAAACTTAAAACAATCGTATATCACATGTTTGTTCTCTACATCTAATGTTACTATTTATATCCAATTGATCACGCCTGTAAAATGGAGTGAATTCTGTAATTATTATTTCCAAAATATATTATTATGACGCTTGGTTTTCTTCATCTTTACTAATGGAACGTTAATTTACCGTAGACGAATATCTACATAAGGTTCTTTCCCAAAGTTTATTCTACAAGACTTCAACACAAATCAGATCAAGAACACGTGATTAGCCTGACAAGAACGTAAATATGACTCCACATCAAAAACCGAAAACAATCAAACACTATCAATAATAAAAAGGATAGAAGAATAATATTAAGTCATCTAACGCCTGTCAGACTATCGTTAAGTCTAATTAAGTAAACAAACAATCATTATCATACTCGACCATATATCAAAAGGTAATGAGCACTTGAATTTTGTTTCTCTTATCTTGAAATACTTTTTCCTAATTGATTTAAATAATTCTAAAATTTTTTTAATTTAGTCACCTAATTATTGACAAGATATAGGATATGATGCCCTGGTACGGCCGAAAGTTAGGAGGGCCTGCACTCTCTCTCGAAATGCCCTCACATGGCCACGCGTATATAGCCTCTGCCAGGGAAGGCCTACTCATTATTATTGTTATAGATAAAATGTGACATTGCCATATTCTCAATCTAATGGAAACTATAGAAGTTTGTAACTACTGACGCATTCCTCTTGATTGTTGAACATACTTCAAAATGTCGCATGTCAACGTCCTTGTGTTGGTATGATGGACAAAATCAATGTGCTTATGGAGAAAGCCGAACCAGAGTGTGTTAATCTGACACATTTATGGTTCATTTTCAACGTTATTCGATCATAAATAATCAAGTGGTCATGTCAGTGAGGCTCATTACTCGAGATTCTGTTCTTAATAAACCGATGTACAACCAAGTAGTTTTAGAGGCCGTTAGACTGCTCAAATTAGAAGCTAGTGTAGACCCTTCTGTAATTTTCTGATTGGCTTATCCATGAAAGAAAAAAGTACACTTTAACTGACCAAAATTCGATTAGTTTGTTTTCTTAACTGAACTATATCTCTAAATACATACTGTTATTTATTTATTGATGAACTGTATGACTTACATGTCTTCAACTTCTTCACAATATTATTTCGCTGGAAATATGGGATACCATACAGTCAATGTGTTAGACTGTCATGACCTACTTCTTTAAACTGTGATAGGATAATCCGTCAACAAACTCAGTTGTTGTCATTAGAAATAACTTCGAAACGGTGTAGATGTTTAGTAGAATTAAAACAGATCAGTAGGGTTACTGAAAACAGTTTGTTGTGGGAAAAATTAGCTAAAGTGACTATTCATAGTTTGCTTGGAAAATCCTATAAAAAATAAACTAATTGGATTAGATATATATCTTCAATTTCCAGATGTAAGAACAGAAATTTATAGCTATAAACATAAGTTGTTTACAGGAATTCCCAAGTCATGCTTTGTATTAAATATTATGAGTATCGTTGTAAGTATATGCCGAATATAAGTAATGATAGATTTCCGAAGCATGACGATTTTGTATTAGTGAAATAAACAAGTTGAAGACCTTTTTTACACCACGTTTTGCTAGTACAAATTCCCTTAAAATTAACTAACCATCTTTATCTAAATACATTTTTCCGTCTAGACTAATGAGTGAGATTAAGTGACTTGTCCGTAAAGTCTACAGCACCTTATATTTAAGAAAAAACGCAACTAGGCAAACACAAATTGATTTTCAAGTTGTATCTACTTTCAATGAACCTTAATTAGTCGATTTACTAAAGTGAATAATACATTTCCTGAATATGTTATAACGTCTACTAACCAAGTACAGGAACAGTAAGTAGTCTGAACCTTCCATATAAATCAACTGGAGATACTCATTATCATACATGCAGCAAAACGTATTTCCATATGTTTGGTGTATATGATTGTTAATTTTAAACTGGGAAAATGCAAGACTTCGACATATGAGTGGTCTGATCTATCAAATGATGTGAAAAATTCAGTTAATCATTAAAAACGCATTCAAGTAACAATAACTAATATCTTCAGGAAAGAACGACAAATCACTTTTACACAGGGTCAATTGCCTTTTTCAGGTTTCTGATTTCCATATAAGTGATATTTCATTTAAAAAGGTCATCCTCATTACGTGTGGGTTTTCGTCAATATTATTTCAAAATAGAACTATTCGTGGATAATCAATTGGTTCTAATAATTTCAACTAGTACTTTCTTGTTGCAAATGAGAAAAGGTTAAAATGATCGTGGATGCGCACTGCTGAGGAGTTCCATAATAGGACGAAACGGCCGTCCAGTGCTTCAAGGTTTTCCATAGTGGTCTAGCTTTAATTGATTCATGATTTCAACTATGAAAATATTGAAATATTCACAAAAACCCCTTTTGATCAAAATGATTAATTATCAGGCATTGGACTACAGTTATGATTAAGAATGTTAGAAGTTAAAGTTAGTAGTGTTAAAATACATTTTATCCACACAAACATGCTTGACTGGGTATTGGATCATATCAACTACTTTAAGATATAATCTGGATCACTGGTATGTGTATTTGATTTAATTTCACTTACATACCACATTATAATCAGTGTCGTTGGACAACAGATATACTTTTTAATTTTAGAACTAAATATTGACAATTTTTGCTTAGTACTGAATAACATACACGCTATCCTACACTGTGCTTTAGATTTTACGATAAAATCGGGAAGACGCTACCTCAAATTAAGTTGGTCCACCATACCTTTCATTATCACTAATATAATTACTTAGACTAATAACAGTTTTTAATCTAATTTCCTCCACTGCTAAGCTAATTAAGTATGATAAACCGAGAAAATAACAAGTGAGTGGAGTTTTACTATGAATTTTCAGTGTCTAGACATTACGTAAGTCATTCTAACAGCCATATTACATTGACTGACTTAGTTGGAATTGTATTTTAAAACTTACATTCCGTAGTCACTTTGTATACAATGTTAGTGAGACGGGAAAAAACGAATGTTGAAATAGAAATGTTGCAAATAAACTCCTTTCGACAAGATATCTAACAAAAGATTTGCTGTATAAATAACCAAATCGATGTAGGAATTAAAGTCACTTAGTCTTGTCCCAAATAGGACGAAACGCGCGTCCTGGATTCCACTGCTAGCCAGTATTCATCTTTGATGTAGGAATTAGTTTATTTATGGAATCATTTTCGTCGTGAATTTTCATCAGCTGGTAATAATGAAAAAGACCTAGATTTTGGTTCCTCGACAGCTTGCACTAACTAGGACCTTTAGGTCTCGCAGCAAATTTGTTAATATTTGGATAGAAATATCAGGATTCAAGAATCCATATCTCCAGTTTCAATTACCTGGTTAAAACATATCTTAACTTTGAATTCTGGAGCAGTAGGAAGTGAATAGTGCTAAGGAATATCTGTGAAGTGTAATATTAATTTTCAATAACCTCTCAGCTAATATATCAGTTCATGAGATAAATCTATATCCAGAAAAGAATAACATTACAGCATTTGTAGTTTAAATTTATCACTCACACCCGCCCACACATCAATAAACAATTTTTCACAGCTTCCTACTTTGCATAACTCAAAGCAGTTACTTAATGATAAGTATTTTAAAATGTTATAATCGTTTATTATTAAAGACGAACATGAAAGTCAATATTTTTGTACAGTGATTACCTTTTTAATATTAGTGAATTCTAGAAATCACCATGTCACCAGTTTAGAAACAAGTTTGAACTTGGTCACAGCTATGATTAATTTTCTTTTCACCATGCGACATCTCTAAATATTTGGGCGGAAAAAGTATGCACCCAGACTACATTGAGTGCATATTTCAATAAAATTTGAATTAATCACTGTTTTTAAATATTCACAGTCATACTTTCAAAATTTATCATTAGGATCAAGGAAAAAAAGTCCACAACCGTTTTAATGTCAATCCCTGAAAAAACTAAAAACAATACTTGCCTGATATATAAGGTCAAAATTAAAACCAACTAATAGTATATACACCATTATGTTTATGGATTCTTTTCACACCATTCAACTCTTCTATCACTTTCTCTATACATGGGAATGATAAGTAGAATACATTAATTCTTGTTTGTTTGAAGGAAAGAAAATAAGTATTAGCAGAATCAACAAGATTGTCACATTAATGTAAAAATGATTAGAAGACAGAGAGGTTGATTGACTAACTGATAGGGATATCAAAGGGTATATATATCATCAGACAGTAAAACAAGAAAACAATGAATTATTGCAAAATAGGAAAGCGTGATCTAACTGCTCTGGATGAATTCTCTTTGGATAACAATAGAAAACAGAGGAATGTGCGTAAACCAAGGAAAATTTAAATTGTGAGATGACTACAAATTCAAATGTAAAATAGTACATTTTTTGAAAAAAATAACAAAAACAAAACAACGATAACAATTTGGTAGGATTGAATAGAGAATGCAAAATCAAAGTTGTAATAGAAAAATTGTACTTGTGTGAGTGTGCATACAGGATAGATCAGTTTATTATGTAGAGGATGATTGGGAGTCAGCAGGTATAACATATTGACTAACATATTTTTGTTGTGCATATTTCAATGTGTCTTTTGCTCTGTTTCGTTTTAATTCGCCATCCCTATGAATGAAGAAATAAAAGTAGATGTGATACTATAAGATAAACATCCGACCGTAGTTACTACCTTGATGGGGTAGTCATGGTGGTCTAAGTAGGATACTGTGATGACTCAATGAAGATGGTGGAGAAGATTTGTAGCTCAGGTGGACGATTTTGATGGAGTTTGTTCTCTGAGCTGGATGGTTTGGTCGTGGAGCTTTCATCGTCCTTCGAACACTTCACTTCAACCCGAAGTTTGTGCTGATGATGTTGTTCAGAAGGACGATGAAAGCTCCACGACCAAACCATCCAGCTCAGAGGACAAAACTCCATCAAAAGGACTCAATCGAGCTATATTGGCTGGAACACTCATTTCATGTCATGCAGGTCAGTTGGAGAAAGGTAGGACTAAAGGTATCAACTTAAAGTCTGATGACGAAGTCATCTTCCTGAATGTACTAGAGTTCTGATTACGGTAAGGCATTTCCCTTAGATAACTGGTATCTACAGTGATGCTATCTTTCCATAATAAAACGTGGTATTTAGAAAAGATCAGCCCTAAAAATAAGATAGCTTTCCTTATCCCACAGATTTTCGTTACCGGTGACAAGGCCCTTAAAATATGTTGCCAACAACATCAGGAACTATTTAGTATCATGCAGCTGTCTCTTGTACATTGCGGCCACGATCTCGTATCCTCAAAACAACTATTGGTTCAGTTTCATTAAGAAACATCTCAAGAAAAAGTATACATTCACGATGTGGGCGATCGGGAAGTAACAACGCCCAACACATCTGTAACAGAATTCAAGATGATCATGATTGATATCACCTAACAGTTAACAGATTTACACTACCTGGTTGGGGTTTGTATGATTATAGTAACCAGTGGTTAGAGACTTTGGATGAAATGGATAAAAATCATTAATGATGGCGCAGGTGCACCCACTCTTTGTCCTCAGATTCTGTCTTTGAATTCCTTATGATTTTCTTATTTCACTAATTTATATTTTCTTGGACCGTATCTCTGATGCCGAATCTTTTCGATTACAATTAATACCGTTACTAACTGCACTACTCTAATAAATTAATTTCGCTATGTTAACAGGGTTTGGCACTTTGGATCAATGTGGAGTTTGACTGACTGAAAGATCATAAGATAGATCAAACAATCATAAAGAAATAATATCAATGTTTTGAGGAAAATATTGAATACATTTAGTAGCAAAGATGATTACTGGACTAATCTTTTAGTAGTTTCAGTTTGTAATACGTCACCGGTAGATGAGTACCACCAGCAAATAATTTAGAATAAAAGTTAAACAGTACTCTTCAGTTTCGCGTTATTTTTATTCAACAATGCTGTGGATGATGTTAATTGGGTAAAGGAATTAACGATTATATATATAATCACCTACTGACAAACAATATCTTTCAGTACTATTAATTTAGTTGACTTCCCATACATTAATAATAATGTGACTCACCAAGTAAAGGTTAATATGATCTAAGTCGCGTAACATTATTTTAAGGTTGCCTTAATAGAAGTATGTGAAGGGAAGGGTTTAAGCCTGTTAGCTGATTGTTTAAGTAATGTGATATAAACACTAACCCGCCATTCCATAGGACAGGCATTACTTATAGTAGCCCCCATTTCTTAACTTGTATAGAACAAGATCATACCATTAAGTGTGTACCATCTTCTTTGGCAAACAAGAACAGAAACCTCGACCACTAATGATTGTGGTACACGATTACTAACAGTTTATCTACAAAAAGTCTTCGTTTTTTGCTAGCATTCCAACAAACGATTCTAAATCAGTATTTACTATAAATTAATATCACATGGGAAACTATTGGGAATCAGATAACGCCATACGACTGTCGCATTTCAGTTTCGAACTCCTTAGCAATAAGCATCGATGATATACAAATTTTATGTCAAGTGTGATGTTTTTAAACTACCAATGAGTCGAAATCCAACGGTACTTCAGTCACAATTAGAGATATGCATAAGTTATGTCAGTGAGGTTACACTGAATCAAACGGATTTGTCCCTTTATTTTCAATTCAAAAGTATTTGAGAGAAATAAAGAGACAAATTGAACTTAAGTAACTTCAATAACCTTGTCTTTGATTTGTTTGTATCATACAAGAAATTAACGACTGATTCGCATATTTCTCTTAAAATGAAGTCAATTAAAATACTGAGTATAGAGTTTAAATTTGGTATATCATTCAAATGTTTATTAATGTGAAGTTTGATTTATAAATTTCTAGCATTTATCAATTTTATGCTGATGTATATCGATAACTGATCAAAACGTCATCTAGTCGTTTCGTACATGTTAGCCTGGTGACATTGTAGGTTATTTTTAGCAAGGAATATGGACATGGTTATCAATATAAGTAAGAAACCAATAAACAGTGATTGAACTCGTCACACGTTACAGTAATAATGACATTTATTGATTTAAACATTGATATAAGGAGGCATAACTCCGCCTGTAGCTCCTCCAGGGGCTACTGCCGGTCCCAAGCACGGGTAAAGGAGGAGGGTTGGGCATGGGGTTAGCGACCCCATCCCGTAGAAAATCAACTCGCTAAAAAAACGCTAACCAGAAAAATTCATTCAAACCATTCAAACTCTGCCCTGGGAGTAGAAGGAAAAATGACGTCTCATGATGAAAGCCGAGTTCCTTCGGAAGTCATGAGGCCGATGCACCTTCTTACAACCAGAGCGACAATTTTTATAGGTACATGGAATGTCCGGACAATGTGGGAGACCGACAGAGTCTTCCAAATTTCTGCGGAAATGAGGAAATACAACCTGGAAGTGCTTGGAATCAGTGAAACACATTGGACGCAGGTTGGACAACAACGACTGTCTTCAGGAGAACTTCTGTTATACTCCGGTCATGAAGAAGAAAATGCCCCACATACACAAGGAGTGGCACTGATGCTGTCTAGAAAAGCACAAAATGCACTTATAGGATGGGAATCTCATGGACCAAGGATCATCAAAGCCTCCTTCAGAACAAAGAGAGAGGGCATTACAATGAACATCATCCAATGCTATGCGCCGACCAACGACTACGATGAAGACGCTAAAAACCAATTCTACGATAGGCTGCAGTCAATCTTTGAGAAGTGCCCAACCAAGGACCTGACCATTCTAATGGGAGATTTCAATGCCAAGGTTGGAAAGGACAACACTGGATACGAAGACGTCATGGGACAACATGGACTGGGAGGAAGGAACGAAAACGGTGAGAGATTTGCAAACCTATGTGCCTTCAATAAACTGGTCATAGGTGGCACCATATTCCCACACAAAAACATACACAAAGCCACTTGGATTTCACCGGATCACACTACACAGAATCAAATCGACCATGTCTGCATCAACAAAAAGTTCAGGAGGACGATGGAGGATGTGAGAACCAGGAGAGGAGCTGATATAGCATCCGATCACCATTTGCTGGTCGCCAAGATGAAACTAAAACTCAAGAAGCACTGGACAATGGCGCGGACAACATCACAAAAGTTTAACACGGCCTTTCTTCGAGATGCTGACAAACTCAACGAATTTAACATAGCCCTCAGCAACAGGTTCCAGGCCTTTCATAACCTACTCAATGAAGAGGGAACCACCATAGAGAGCAGCTGGAAAGGTATCAAGGACGCAATCGTTTCAACATGTCAGGAGGTTCTGGGCCAAAAGAAGCACCATCACAAGGAATGGATCACTGTTGGTACACTGGATAAAATTGAAGCAAGGAGGAACAAGAAGGTAGCAATCAATATCAGCCGAACAAGAGCAGAAAAAGCCAAGGCACAAGCCGAATACACAGAGGCAAACAAGCAAGTGAAGAGGAGCATCAGGACCGACCGACGTAAATATGTGGAAAATTTAGCGATGACAGCGGAAAAGGCTGCAAGAGAGGGAAACATGAGACAACTGTATGATACAACAAAGAAACTTGCTGAAAATTACCGTCAACCAGAAAGACCAGTGAAAAACAAGGAAGGCAAAGTAATCAACGATATTGAAGAACAACGAAACAGGTGGGTAGAACACTTCAAAGAACTCTTGAATCGACCAGCTCCACTGAACCCACCCAACATCGAAGCAGCACCCACAGACCTCCCAATCGATATTGGCCCACCAACAATTGAAGAGATCAGCATGGCCATTAGACAAATCAAGAGTGGCAAAGCAGCGGGACCAGACAACATCCCGGCTGAGGCACTGAAAGCAAATGTAACAGCAACTGCCAAGATACTCCACATCCTCTTCGGTAAGATTTGGGACGAAGAACATGTACCAACAGACTGGAAAGAAGGACTTCTCATCAAGATACCAAAGAAAGGCGATCTGAGCAAGTGCGACAACTACAGAGGCATCACTCTCCTCTCAATACCAGGAAAAGTCTTCAACAGAGTATTGTTAAACAGGATGAAGGATTCCGTGGACGCTCAACTTCGAGATCAACAAGCTGGATTTCGTAAGGATAGATCGTGCACAGATCAAATCGCAACTCTACGTATCATTGTGGAACAATCAATCGAATGGAATTCATCACTGTACATCAACTTCATCGACTACGAGAAGGCATTTGATAGCGTGGACAGGACGACACTGTGGAAGCTTCTTCGACACTACGGTGTGCCTGAGAAGATAGTCAATGTCATACGGAACTCCTATGATGGACTAAACTGCCAAATCGTCCACGGAGGACAACTCACCGACTCGTTCGAGGTAAAGACCGGTGTTAGGCAAGCTTGCCTACTCTCACCCTTTCTCTTTCTCCTGGTGATCGACTGGATTATGAAGACGTCAACATCTGGAGGAATGCACGGGATACAGTGGACAGGCAGGATGCAGCTTGACGATTTAGACTTCGCGGATGATCTGGCTCTTCTATCACAAACGCAACAACAAATGCAGGAGAAAACGACCAGTGTAGCAGCAGCCTCAGCAGCAGTAGGTCTCAATATAAACAAAGGGAAAAGCAAGACTCTCCGATACAATACAATATGCACCAATCCAATTACACTTGACGGAGAAGCTTTGGAGGATGTGGAAATCTTTACATATCTGGGCAGCATCATTGATGAACACGGTGGATCAGATGCAGATGTGAGGGCGAGGATCGGCAAAGCAAGAGCAGCATACCTACAGCTGAACAACATCTGGAGCTCAAAACAATTGCCAACCAACACCAAGGTTAGAATTTTCAATACAAATGTCAAGACAGTTCTTCTGTATGGGGCAGAGACGTGGAGAACTACGAAAGCCATTATCCAGAAGATACAAGTGTTTATTAACAGCTGTCTACGCAAGATACTTCGGATCCGATGGCCAGACACTATCAGCAACAAGTTACTGTGGGAGCGAACAAACCAGATTCCAGCGGAGGAAGAAATCAGGAAGAAGCGCTGGAAGTGGATTGGGCACACTTTGAGGAAATCACCCAATTGTGTCACAAGACAAGCCCTCACATGGAATCCTGAAGGTCGAAGGAGAAGAGGAAGACCAAAGAACACATTACGCCGAGAAATAGAGACAGACATGAGAAGAATGAACAAGAACTGGAGAGAACTAGAAAAGAAGGCCCAGGACAGAGTGGGTTGGAGAAAGCTGGTCGGCGGCCTATGCTCCATTGGGAGTAACAGGCGAAAGTAAAGTAAAGTAAGTAATAAGGAGGCATCAAATATATATGCGCCAAACTTCGTCTTTCGATTTGTGTGAGGGGCTGGAATACTGCCTGGGCGCCTAAACCGAGACAGGTCGTTTTCTTAGGGGGCCACATCCCGAGCCTCTGACCAAGAGGTCTAATCCACAAGGCAGTGGAGGCCTTATTCGCCCTGTTCTAATATTTTTTAATTTTGCTATGGTTGGGGTTGTGTACTGTGAGATGGGCAATTTGATCGTGAGGCTTCTATTGACTTACTAGATGACATGATCAGTACAAACTTCAAACAGAAGTAAAATCATACAATTTTTCGGCTAACGGGTTGTTCTAGTAATCTTGACTCTGGTTGATTGTGGCCGGCACTTATCCTGAAATTGTCTACATAATTATTTAATCATCTTCCCCTGACCTAACTTTTCACCTTATAGTTGCTCGTGATTTTTATATGTTTGATATCGACACGTTTATCGATCACTGACTGATCTGAGTACCAAGGTTCTAAAAATTCTCTGGTTTCCATCACGATTAGACCATGCAACTAGGAGGATGCGAACCTACAGAATTATCCTTCTGAGCTAAAATAATTCCATTATCTTGGAAATGATATTTTATTGTACACTAGTGACTACTTTGTGGTTATGTATAATTTACGGGTTTATGAGATCCATCTTTATCAATTTTTAAACCTGAAGGATTTTACTATAGAATTTTATATTTTACATTCGTTCATGCTCAACTCTATATTCGCAGTTTTAGTTTCTCTAGGATTAGTTTCATATTGTATAAATCTTTCTGGTTTTCTATCTTGTTAGTCTCCTATCTCTAGACATGTAGTGCACCTTGGACGGTGCCACAATGAAGGCATAGTTGAATAAAACTTTAAGCAGTAAGAATAAAAGTGGTTCCAATTATATTTCGTGCAATAGTTCAATTATTCATGTTAATTTTTAACTATCAATATAGGGGTTTGTGGAGGTTAGATTTTCAGGTTCTCAGTGGTGGTCTACCTTAGATGGACTTGTTACTTTAACTGTGAAGTTAGGCATACGATTAGTGAGTTATTGTACTTATATTGATATAATTTATCACTCAAATATGCAATAATCTCTACACTTCACCGTATCTATTTTCGAAATATTAGTAAGACATAAATCTCAAGTATTGTCTAATATATAGTAGATTGTAAGCTAGTAGCACAAAGAAACAAAATAAAGAGAAGTGTTATATGATGGGAGGTAGTTGGCTGTAAACCCTGGGCCCGAGTCTCGTGGTAGTTGGGACTGGTCAGCAAGGCGTAACTGCCGTCTCAAACGGTGAGCCAGAGTTATATAGGCTCGGGTCCCATAGATAGCATTAGTTCCCCTAAGATTGCGTGTGCACAAAGTCACTCAGGTTGGTGGACAAATTTCAAATTGATTGACCAGCAAAAAAGGAACAGACACACACGAAATTAGTCACAGCTTAGTGATTAATGGATAACACAAGGGTAACGGTAAAATTAAAAAAAGAAAGGATATTCGATTAACTACTTACCAATCCATTCCAATCATACCACCACATTGTGCAATACTGTACTGTACGCGTCTTGCAAATGCAATTGAATCTTCTTGATCTGACTTTCTAGTTGGTGGTAAATACCAAACATCTACCATAATAGCCCATGATGTCATTATTTTTAAATTGTACTGGAATAAACTATCTAGACTGCTGTTCCAAAAACAGTCAGCAAACAATGGATTGTACTTTTATAGGACATGAGAAAGAGGGGAGGAGAAAAGTAATCAACAGATAATCAATAAATAACCTATATATATATATATATATATATATATATATATATATATATATATCACACCAGTTAAAATCATACATATGATACGTAATGGAACAATAAGATTCAATAAAACAATTCCATTGTATGGTTGAAAGGCCTTGGATAATTTGAAAGGAGTACCGCAAACGAAATGATGTTGGGTAATAAATCCATAAAATTTCGCATGATTGTTTCTTTATTAGTTGAGAACTACTACTATGGTGTATGCTACTTAAGTCGACAGACATAAGTAGTATGTAACACCAATCAGAAAAGCAATGCATGGCAGCAGAAGGCTATGAAGGTCGACTTGAAGAAAACAGAAAGGGAAATAGAAAGAAAATGTGACTTGAAAGAATCATACAGAATATGAAGGACAAATAATGGAAGTTTTGAAAATGAAGTATTCAATGTATGGTTCTCATTAGAACCGGCCACTGGTAAACAAGATGGAACCTGGTACGCATGTGTATCTGTTTAAGTTGACATGCCTGATTAGCAAAGTAAAATGAAATGTTGATAACAGACAGAGTAGAGGAAATGATAAAAGTTTCAGTGATAGTAGAGAATATTAGGGATAGAGAAAGTGATTTGAGAAGACAGAATGAATTTACGGAATATGAAGTATAGGTACTGTAAGACAAAGAATGAACGTATCTGCGATATTGCAAATGATTCTGACCAATTTTATAAAACATCTCCGACCATTGGCCATAATAACCACGTGGTCCAAGTTGTCATGCACCATAGATTCGAACAGTGGAAGGGAATCAACAAAAAGAGGAGGACAGAATGGGAAATAACACAGAAGACAATTTACATTTAGGCATGTAGAATACAGCCCAAGAAAGGATAAATGCGATTGAAAGATAGAACATTAATGACACCTGATTCACGATTTGTAAAATGACGGAGAATGAATGTAAATATACATTATACTGTGAAAGACTTCGCGTTATGTAACTATCAAACATCCAACCTGAACACCGATTACCACGACGCGCAATGATGAATACTATTGGGGATGGTTGGAAGAAAGTTAGAGGCGGCCAAACAAAAACGTGGCATCAGAGCTTGAAGTCACTAACTTCTAGTCTGAGCCATGTTGGTAGATGCAGACTACTTGCTTGAGGTCCGCGTGCCTATCGTAACCGATGGTTGGAAACTCTCGGTGACATGGCTCACAATCGATCACAATGGCGCCCACCCGGAGGCGGTAGCCACTTTGCCCCCAAATGCCCTGGTACGACCGAGAGTGGAGAGAGTCACCTCTCCCTCTCGAAATGCTCTCATATGGCCAGTAAATATATAGCCTCTGCCAGGGAAGTCCTACTCACTGCCTTCTCGTGGCATTACTGTTGTTTACGAAAGTGAGAGTACGAAAAGCGAATGTCCGGCGCTTTAACCGGGTTGGTGGATGTGGAGGATCCACCTAGGGGAGTTGGAAAACCCTGATTCCAAACCAATGGTGCACATGGGCTCCAGTATCCTGATGGAACGAATGGCGGACGAACCTGTCATTGGTCAACGGCTACCATGGGACTGCATCTCCTTACGATGCTCCACTGCCTTGTGGATCAGACATTCAGGTCAAAGGCTCCGGGTGTGGCCCCCTAAGAAAACCACCTGCTTCAGTCTGGGCACCTGGGCAGTATCACAGCCCTCACACAAATCGAATGAGATTTGTGAGGCGCATATTTATCTGGTGCTTCCTTGTACCAATTTTTATGTGTTTAAATAAATAAATAATAAATAATAATGGCGCAGATGTATACACTCTTTATCTTCCCTTAAACCTTGAGGTTAAAATTGCTTCATATCTGTCTTCCTTCCTATACTATATCCTCATGCACAACCTTTCTTTTATATATTACCACCATTAAATTAACTACTTCTATGAAATTGGTGTTCATCTTGTTGTGCTAACGAGGTATGGCAACTTGGACCGATGCATATATGTTCCTGGTCCTACGTTGTAGCTGAGTGACTGACTGATCCAACAAATAATTTTGAGAATAACTTAATAGTTTACTATTTTTAACTCCAATGAACTTGTGAGTAGTACGATCGACACCTAATGATAAGTGACGTCAAACAAAATTGTCAGAGATAATGAATGGGTTCGAGCTTGTGACAACACTTATTAATAGAAAATGTTAGCTCTTGTTACCGTGTCAAAGAATATGATTGAAGTTAACTGTTATATATGTCGGTAGATGACAATCTAACTTATATAAACATTTTGCAAGGATATAAAATGTAATGATATCTGTTATTTTTCAGATCACATAACTACTATCGTTATACATTAAATAGGAATAATATATTTGTAAAATCTCAGCGAATGAATTTTTTTTATTATTTTAAATTAAATCCTATCTAGAAAGATTGTAGGTTGGATTTAATTTAAAAAAAATTCATTCGCTGAGATTTTACAAATATATTATTCCTATTTAATGTCTTACTTCAACTCGGCGCTCAAATACTGTGAAACTATTCGTTCTAATTTAGACGAGAGTTCTTATATACTATCGTTATATTCTACACTGTAGCAATGACTTGTGCGTATCTGATGGTCAATAGCATGTAGCAAATAGTGGTACAATTTACTTATTTTCACTAAAGGAAGAACAAAAATTTCAGCAAATTGAAGTCAAATTGATAAGTACAGAGAGTGAGAATGTTTGGTGGCCTGTGCATTTAGCAGTTAACCCCTAAATACTGAATGCGAACATATATATTCATTTTCATTAACTTAATTAGCGATAAGTATAAAGTTTAACTTTTATAAAGGAGACCTGATTTATGTCTAAGCACTCTAGTGTCAGTATTTTGGTTGAATGGTCAAATAACTGACCGACAGAATTCGATCAGCGTCAAAGGACTAGGCAAACATGAAATTGGTCAATACTCATTGATAAGTCACAAGACAAGCCCTCACATGGAATCCTGAAGGTCAAAGGAGAAAAGGGAGACCAAAGAACACATTACGCCGAGAAATAGAGACAGACATGAGAAGAATGAACAAGAACTGGATAGAACTAGAAAAGAAGGCCCAGGACAGAGTGGGTTGGAGAAAGCTGGTCGGCGGCCTATGCTCCATTGGGAGTAACAGGCGTAACATAACATAACAAGAAATAAGTCGTGGTTAGAATAGCTCTGCAGTAATATATATATATATATATATATATATATATATATATATATATATATACTTAGGAAGATTTCGTTAAAAAGCGATGCATACTCTAATTGCAACAGGATGAATTTCAGCGCCCACTTCGAAACAACCCTTCTTGAATTTCATGACTGATGTATTATTGATACAAGTACCTTCTGGAAAAATGAGAATAGGCTCAGCATTCGGTGTAGCTGCGTGGTTTTTTAACCTTTTCGCTGTAGAATGACGATCTAAGATTTCATCACGATCAAACCAAATAGCAGGCACAGCACACGAGATTATCCGTTCAGCGAAACCAAAAAATCCTCCATGCTTTTGCCCAACCTGAATAAAAGAAAAAAACTATTAATAATAGTGTCATTTACACAAAATAATCGTAGCTAGTATTTAAGGTTTGCAAATATTGTAGATATCACCTAATTCACCACTCTATATTCTTTTATGATCTATTGTTGCATCTGTAGAGTAATATAAATGATAATATAGGAATAATAATCTCACTCACCAGGTGTACTTCCAAATGATCCAGACTCTAAATGTAAGGAGCTAATCATATTATCTGGTTGCCCAAACTCAATTGGGCGGAGTGAGTTTCAAACGTGAGGCTTGGTGTCAAAAAGTTGAATCTCTTAACCACTAAGTTGTCGCTCCGCAATAACGTTTGCCTACCATTCGAAATTGATGTAATGGAACTCAATTCTCAATCGGTGGTAGTTTAGAAAAAGACAATGGACAGAAGGAATCCATGTTTATCGTTTATCATTTGTATTTTCGGTGTGTTCTACAATGTTAGCTGTTTTCTCTTCTGATCTTTACGTGTTCTGCCTACGCCATGCTTTTGATATGCAGAAACTCCTCTTTCCGTCTGATGACTGTGACAGCTTCGAGGCCACATTCCGCTACATACTACTTACGAGCAATCTTGTGAGTACCGTTCATCACAGTAGGTTGAATGTTCGAAAGCAGTCTACACATAAGGAGTGCAGTTCAAAACTAAGTACAAACATGTATACTCCGCAAAAATGAGTAACTAGTTATACTGAACTATAATCGGCCTTACTATATATATTTCAAATGTAGATGCATGCAGGAGAATATTACACTACGACTAAGTTAACTATGTCAATTATATTTTTATACGGCACGTATGTGTTAGTCATTTGAACAATTAAGCTAGGTGTTCATTGAATTTTGTAGCTGAAGGTCGATCTTAAGTGAATGTGTGATTACTTTAATTGAAAAGTAGTGGGCTTCTAACCGAACAAATATTGTACTAGTTAATCCGACACAACGTAGAACTTCATACGTACGTACATCAGTTCGAGTTGCCATACAACATTAGCACAGAGATGCAGATGTGGATCCAAATCTCACGGCGGTAGAAGTAGTAAGAGTATAAGCAGTGTTCGGAAAGATTAGGGTTTGAAGATGTTATTCAAGGAGTATAATCCGGTAAAATAAATTTGGAGAGATAAAAAAAGATAGGGACGTGAAGAATTCAGAAGATTAGAATTTGGTAGAACAAAGAGTGGATGCATCTTCACCATTGCATTTCCGAGATAGTTTTGCTGACAGTTGGGTTTCTAATACCGGTTTCTTTAACAAGTCTGGACAGTTGTCTGCTGTTGCCTATTGCCACTGCCTTTCCCATCTCTCTTGTTTTCGCTACCCACCACTGTTCACCATCACCGCGTAGGCGTCTTACCAGCCTGTGCTTAAGCTGACTCCGCTCTTCGTTATGTTCAGAGCCAGATAGGGTGAGTCTTCGAGCATCTATCAGTGCGGTAGATGCTGCTGAGATCCAGTGTTTCTCCCTAACCTTATGGTTTGCCCTACTAGCAGATATCACTGCTGTTTCCACAGCTTTTCGGACGTCGTTCCATGCTGCCTTGGGGTGGGCACAACTTACATGGCTGCTCAACTGTTTTTCTAGTTGTTCCTGAAATATATTCTTAGCTTGCCTATCATTAAGTAGAACCCTAAGAGGTTTCCTTACAGTGTCTTTCCTACGTCCAGTAAGATGCACACAAATACGTGCTCGCACTAGAGCATGATCTGAATCTAAACATGTACTCCAGAACGAGAGACAGTCTTCTATCTAGCCCTTCCATCGGTGACTGATGGCGATGTGATCTATTTGGGTCCAACGTTGTGTTGGGGATGTCAAATCCCCAGAACTTACTTGATAAGTGGCTTGATTTTGTAATTTTATTTTGGAAATTTGAATTTAGCTGTTTTCGCACCAAATGCGCTTTTTTTTACCTTCACGTCATATTTCCCACTTGTAACTATCTTAAACGCTATTGGTCCGTTGTTTCTTTGTGTGTGCTATTTATAAATGATGCCCAAGGACAATTTGCTGCTGTACATATACGCTTGACTTTTTCTCTTAATTGGTTGCTGTGCTTCTGGCTGCTACGGGATATAACTTCCCGCTTCCAATTTGGACTTCTTACTCTAATTAGCTGGGTCGTGTCAGAACAGTTAGCTTATCGGTTCCTGGTCACAAGTCTTTGTTCCGTTCGCTACTATTGAATTCGTAACGTTTCAGACATTACAATTGGCGACGAGGTTGGTGCAAATATGGATCCTGCAAAAGTGGAATTATTGCTCCAACAGCAGATGAAACTTATCCAAATGCTAACAGAAACAAAAATTACGACCAATAGCCAACCAAGCAGTTCTAATCCTACCACTACTGCACCTTCAGTTGATGGTATTGACAGTAGCATTTCTGAGTTTCATTACGATCCTGAATCTAATGTTACGTTTGATATGTGATTTCGGCGTTATGAAGATTTATTCAGATTTGATTTTGCCAATCAAAATGATGGATGGAAAGTCCGTTTGCTGCTTCGAAAGCTGGGTCCTAGTGAACTTGATAAATATTGTAACTTGATTCTGCCTCTAAACACACGCGATCGCTCATTCTCAGAAACTGTCCAGTCATTGAGCCAACAGTTCGGAGATAATTCCTCACTGTTCAACACACGCTACCGATGTTTGAAGCTGACTATGGACGAAGACACCGATTTTCTGATGCATGTGGGCATTGTCAACCGCGAATGCGAACGCTTTCGGTTGAAGTCGCTAACTGAAGATCAGTTCAAAGCCCTCATTCTCATCTGCAGCCTCCAATCGCAAAAGTTCAGTAACATTAGAACACGGTTGTTCAGTCGATTGGATGAAGACCCTAAGCTGACTCTTAATGATATTGCTAACGAATATCAACGTCTAATTAATCTGCAGCATGACACTATTATGGTTCAACGTGGTGTTTCTGATCGCCCTGAAGTACATGTAGTCCAACAACCAACAAAACCTGTTAAATCCGCCCCAGCTAAGCCAAGTTCATCTCACTCTAACTCAGTCCAACAAGCAAAGACGAATCCTCCTGCTCCATGCTGGCAGTGTGGTGCATGGCATAATATTCAAAGCTGCCCGTATAAACAACATTGTTGCAGGAACTGTAAAGCTGTGGGCCACAAAGATGGATTTTGCCAAAATACGAAGCCGAATAGCCCCAGAAGTACTAGAAAGTCTGCTTCCAATCCGTGTACAAATTCGTTGAGTTTTGTAGAAACCTGTCAGAACTCAACCCCAGGTGAGAGAAAATTTATTACCATTAATATTAGCGGGCATCCATTTAGATTGCAAATAGACACAGCATCAGACCTGACGATTCTTTCACAATTCCACATTGATCATCCAGGCATAAAGCGTATGAAATCCATCGCCAGAAGCTATGCTTACTGGCCCCTCATGGAACAGCATATCGTGGATCTAGTAAACAAATGCGCTCAGTGTCAACAAGCTGCAAAGTCCAATGCGAAGGTGCCGCCGGTTCCACGGCCACAGCCTGAACATCCCTGGTCTAGGATACATGTCGACTTTGCCGGTCCAGTTAGCTGGGTCGCGTCAGAATAGCTAGCTTATCTGTCCCAGGTCACAAGTCTTTGTTCCGTTCGCAACTAGTGAATTCGTAACGCTTCAGACATAACACGTTGGGAAGAATTCGGGGGTCACCATGTCAAAAGATGTTTTTCCTTGTGCTTAAGGTTAGTATTCGTAAGAAACAGGCGGTTCTCTGGGCATAGCTGCAACAGACGGTCGCCATTTTCTGTTCTTTGAGCCACGACACCATAAGATCCACCCCGGTGTCTTTCCTTTCCGTTTAGTTTACCTATTTGAGCATTAAAGTCACCTGCCACTATTACTACATCAAGACGCCTAGCTTTTCAGAGAAGGTCGGAAAACTTTTTGTAAAACTCATCTTTTACCTCATATGAGCTGCAGTCAGTGGAAGAGTAGGCAGAAACGACGAAGAGGCAACGACGAGTGTCCCTATTTTTCCGAGTCCTTACTGTTCCGTTTAGTCGGTCAGTGCACAGCCGACTGTCTACTGGGATCCAGTCTGAAAGAGCTAGTCCTGCCCTAGAAATTAGCGCCATACCTACGTCAGCAAGGCCACGAGAAGTAGCATCAGGGCTTTCAGATATACGAAGTGTGAATCGAGTTGGTTCTCTATTTTGACATAGTAAGGTCAAATGAATGACGCTACTCGGATCTTGTATGCGCGTTCCGGAAACGTAGCACACATCGATGGTGCGAGATTCTGAAGTCCCAACGAAGGAAGCCAGTTGTCCTATTTAGCACAGTGTTCGGACGTTAAAAGCTCCTATATGTAGTTTAGATCGTGGTTTCAGGAGAGCAAGATTAACATCCCGCGTGTGTGTTGTTACGGGTATGAGGGCTAATATCACTTCCGACTGCCCACACTATGGAAGGGTATTTCTTGAGGGACCTGAAAAGGTAAACCGGATTAATGTTGGTCTTGACGACCTGGGAGCGTGATCGCAGAGCCCAAGGGACAACTGCTTAAGGCCGGTCACACACGGCCTTTTTGTGGGAGGTTTTTGACGTGTTGGCTTCGTTCCTCAAAGGGCCTTACCGCCGGAGACGGAAATCCGTGAAGTGAGGTTGTAGTGAACAAAACACTAGTTGGGGACAATCGAATGTATTTAAGCAAACATTACAGACTATCTCGGTAAATTCTGATAACCAAACAATGAACAGCCAATTTGCAAATTAACAACCAATTGTTTCAATCTTCACTGTTTCTTCTCTAATTCCATTGCTCATGCATTTTCCAAACGATTGCGCTTCATTTCAGTTCTTTCCTCATCGGTCTTTTGCGAAAATACATTCTATGTCCGACCCACACCATATACTACTTATATAGATATAAGTAGACAACACCACAAGGTGAGGCGTGACATTTTTAGGGTCGACCTCTTCTAACCCCACCCCTTCTTGTGAGAAGG